AAGACGCCTTTGAAGTTGTTTTGAATCCCAGCCCCTCTGCGGCAGCGGGCAGCAAAAGGGAAAACATGACGTCACGAAAGGTTCCTCGCACGCACTCCTCGACTCGCAGAGCCAGCGTCGTGCATCGTCGATACTGAGCTAGTTAGTGGTTCATGCTTCTGAAAGATGCCAGCTGAACGTAGACACGAGGAGAGAGAGAAAAGGGGACAGACAGACTGCTGGACTAGCAACCATTTACAGATCTTCTTCCACACCTATAAGTTTCACACCTTGGAATGAATGGGTGTAGAAGTGGTTTACCTTCAGTAAATGGCTGCCAGTCCAGCAGTTCAGGCACCTCAGCGAATTCGAGGAGCTCACGCGAAGCGGAGACGAAACGAGGTAAGAATTTCCAGTTGATCATTCGGCGGTGGCAAGCGGCTGGATATTTTTTAGATTTTTTTTTTCACGTTTAGTGTTGTTTTGAGAACAAATGATGGTGATATTTAGATTCTCTAGAAAAAAACACGCAAAAAAAAAATAAAAAAGCTTTAGCTCATTTTTCTTTAAAAATCGTTCTAGCTTCCCTTTAATAAAAATTGCAACAAACCTAGATTTGTTATTAGCATTGCCCCACTGAAATTCGTTCACAGCAGGTTGGACAGCATGCTGAATGATTATACTGATAAGGAAAAGCATATTTCACACTTCTCCGCAGTACAATGATGGGGTGCTCTGCAATCATGTGTCTAAAAATATATGAATTTGGGTATGCCGCAGACCCCTAATCAGTCTCACTGAAATCATAGAAGGAGCTCCTACTTTTCTGCTTTCCAGTACCTAAAGGAAGAGAGAAAACAGAATGGTATATAATATTGCAGCTTTTCCCAGAAGTTAGCTTCATATATTGGGCAGCACGTCTGTTCCACCTGCCACACAGACGGACCCCATATAGAGAAAAATGTGAAGAATTCTAAGTCACACCAAATCAAAGAATCTAGCATGAAGAGTTCATTTAATTTTTCTCCCCATTTAAACAAAAAAAAAAAAAAAAAAAAAAAAAAACAGAAAAAAAACAATGAAACTCCGAAACATTAAATCTTGCTGTTTCTGCTCACATACGGCATTTACCAAAGGTTTAAAGCCCACGGCGCGCGAGGCCCGGGCGGGATTGCTCGCTAGCTGCTAGGGTTTTGAGAGCGAGGAAGAACTTCGTTGAAGCGAAATTCCTCCTCACTTTGAAGCTCTAACAGCCAGCGAGCGCTAACGACAGCAGGGCCGCCATATGGCAGCGAGCCCGTTCAAGGCCACAGACACGGTGGGCGCTAAACTTTTGTCAAAGACTGCACAGAATGCTTTTGGCAAGCACTGGCCAGTGAATGACAGTTCAAACAGAAGTTAGCTTTGCTCACTGAATGACTTCTTTGTTGGCATACCCTTTTACAGCATTTATATTTATTGTAACACCCAACACAGTACCGGATGTTTTGGCAATGTGTCTGCCAGAATTTCTAATAAACAAATATGGGCCCGAATTGCCTTATGTGAAGGAGAGTCACAATCACAATAAATTAGAATGGTGCGAATGCATGCATTGCTTGTTTACTTGGCTGTGAGCGATTCCTTACTACCTTCTCAACACATAACAAACATTTCAATGACTACCATCCAGGAGCACTATCATGGGAAAAAACTAGAACATGCAAACACCGAAGTGTTTGCATGTTCTAGTTGCTTTTGCTTACAACTACACCCCCAGCATAAAATCATGACATTTCAAACCTCACTGCAATGTCATTGCACAAGAATTTTTACAGCCTTTAAAGAGGGGATGCAAGCCCTTTCAGTATACTGACTTCAATCAGTTGAATGAAGGTCAAAATAACTGGACCTCATACTGGTATGAACCAAGACCTGTACTGAGTCTTCTGTTCAATAAATGAAAGAGGATGACCAGTTAAATTGGCCCTCCTTTGCGGTTTCAGCACATCAATTCACCTCCAAAGCTTTAAAGCGTCTTTGCCAATCCAAGTTATATATAAAAAAAAAAAAAAATACATGCGAAGGCTGTGGCTACACAATAGCACAGTTTTTAGAAACCACACTTAACATTTTGGCATTACACTTTCCACTAGGGATTCTCTCGCTTTCTCTCAAAATAAAACTAGGCAGGCAAACTATGACGAGAATAGAATGAAGATGCCAGGTAGCTCTGCAAAACCACTCTAAGTATAGCATGGCCTAAACATACTGACTGCTGTAAAGCTATCCAGAAAAACTGGCATTGACACCAAGCCTGCCCATTTTTAATTGAAGGAACACTTCAGTGGTTGGTTTGGTTGTTACTGAAAGTTCTACCATTACTATGTGCGATATTATCAATAGGAGCACCCAACATGAGGGTTCGCCATCCACACCCGAGCATGCTGTTCAAATTTCCAGGAACTTCACTCACTTTTTTTACAAAATCAAAAAAACCCCAATGTTGTTTCTTTTTTTTTTCAACGTATGGTAAGTATATTACTATATAGGAATTTTTCAAAGTAAAACTGACTTCTCGGATACGCTTCTGACAACTTCTAATTTTCCTAGGCTAAGGTTCCAATTTCTTCAATGCAGAATGTTTAGGTTCAAGTGAAGAGACAAAGTTTTCAAAACCTAATTCTAGAAGTTCATTATACATACCATAAAAATATGCTTCAAGAAATAGTTTTGTAACATTCCAAAAGAATTCCCAAATTCTGTAGTTTTCTGATGCCTGATAGACCCCGAAAGCTAGCCAAACCTTAAACATTTTGTCACCCGAGCTCCCAGTAGGAAACATATCAAAGATTCTATGAATGACAGCCACACTTGTAGATCAGCCAGCCTCCAATTGTAATAATACCGAAACAGAATGATGAGGGTATGTTTACCATAGTTTTATTGTGCCAGCCCTTATTCTATTTTCTGCATGAAGACTGTCCCGCTTCCTAGTCAGTAACAAATCGCCCATCCAGGATTCACAGCTACAGTGAGGTGATTGTCTACAGCCAAAAAGTGGAAACTGTTCAATGCTCTCCCATGAGTGGTCAAAACCATAGGTGCACTAATGTGGGCTGGTCCAGGAGCAAGTAATGATAATAAAACATAAAAAAAACTCCTTTTCAGACTTTTTAGAATAACAAACGAAGGTGATGGTTCAAAAACAGTAGGCTTGTGTTCTTTACCATTCAAAGAACATGATGTTTGTGGCACGTCCTATGGCAACTAACAGTCATAAGCCCTAGGTAATTTTTCACGGAATTTTGAGTTACACACAAAAAGCTCACCTCCTTACTTCCTTTGATTTTGCCTCTGTGAGGGTAATAGGCTATACTTAGGGTTCCATGTTTTCGGATAAATCCGAAAAAAACCCGCCGGTAAATATTTTGGTCGATTCAGATTTATCTGATCAATTCCGAATGTTGATGTGCCAATGCTTTCATCCCCCCCTCCCCCCCCCCCCCAAAAAAAAACAACAAAAAACAACAACAAAAATACAAAGTAAAGATGGTGTTTTACAATTAAGTTTGATCAGCGCACAGGATCAATGGTCCCAGAAATGCCACTACACTTATCTTTCAAATCTCTGATTATTGACAAAGGGGTTCTTACCACTTATCTCGTCAAGGTTCAGGACGACATGTCATTGTACTTTCGGGTCACGATAAAAGCTTCTGCACTGGTTTCCAGTTTGGGCCACACTATTTGTGTTTTAAGAGGAAGGAGGGGTTGTGTTGTGTAACAGTTAAAGCTATGGACCATAGAGTTTGCATAAAATTGGAAGAGGGACAGTTGAAACTTTTCTATTACCTCCTTTACCAATCCACCTCGCACGGCCACGGGGTAGCATGGAATAGGATGGGATGAATATGCGCTTCCCAGCGCCTGTCTCCAGGAGTTTATTTTTAAAGTATTGACGTTTATTGAAGCCACACATGTGTGTAACTTTTGCCGTGGGACAAATTAGTATTGCTAATGGCAATGGCACCAACACCAAATCCAGATGAAGAAATATTAACTGATATAAGCACATTTTTTTTTCTTTATCTAGCATATGTTTACACCCGGATATTATTTATTTAATTTTCATAGGGAACACTGTGAAATTAAGCTCTGAATTTCTGAGATTTTGCAATCAAACAAAAATAAACTCCAATAAACTCTGAATTTTCGGAAAAAAAAAAAGATGAGCTCCAAAAAACACCCTCCGAACGGGACAAAAAATAAGCTCCGAAAAACGAAATCCTAGCTATATTTCAGGATATTACGGTATTCATGAAAATCAAACAGTAAACAGAGAGAGTATGATGTCAAGTAACTTACAAGGGAGGAGACAACATCACAAACCGAGAAACCAACTTTGCAGACAGACCTCAAAAACTACTGCAGGGGTGGAACTCATGAATTGTACTTGGGAGCAGCCACGGGAGCAGCTGAAACTGCTGTTTTGGAGGAGGCTGGGAGCAGCTAAAACTACATTCTGGAGCAGTCTAGGAGCAGCTCAGATCAGTTTTCGTTGCACTTCAGCCTGTGTCTTAGACGAGCACGGGAGCAATTTCAATTGTGCTTAGCAGCACAGATGAGCATGAGTGGTTAGGAACCTATGTAGATGGGATAACAGTGTGACAGGTGCAAAAACTAGGTCTTAGTGAGAATCAAAAAGCAAGTACTATGTTTCTGAAGATATGTGTCCTTGATATTTTCTGAGTGGCCTTCAGCTGCTCAAAATGCAAACAGGCACTGTTTGTAGCGCGACCCACACATGTTCGACATAGTAATTATATGTGCGAACCACGCGACGTTCGTAAGCAATGAACGTGCAGTTGCACAGAGGGACAGTTTATCCTATTGTACAACTCAATATCAAAGCATCAGACTACGATAAACGGAGTTATCATGTTCGAAGCGATGAGCCAGAGCAAGATTAAAGTACGCCGAGCAGATCTACCGCTCGCGTGAGAGCTGCTGGCTGGCAAGGATTCGGATTGGACAGCGTCTCAGTTCAATCAAATCACGATTTATTTTGCAGGAATGCGGTTCAAACTTTTAACAATGAAGCACTAAAAGGAATCTTTCGCTAATGTCTTTTCAACTGGCTGACGTCCGGAACCCAGGCCGCAGACCCTCAGGCTATCTGACGCTTAACGACTCGACCTCACCTCGGCCGACTTGCTTAACCGCTTATGGTTGAAGAATAACAATCCATTCGCAGGTGATGTCACGCTTGGAATCCGACCACCAAGTTTTTTCGCGTGCTTCCGACTCGGGATACAAAGGAAAAATAAACGGAACAAAAATTTGCAAGACCAACCAAGGTAAACGCGCTCATTGTTGCCAATCGAGTCAATAAAAACCGAAACCAAGACAAAATAGAATTATTTTGGCGCACGATGTGCGATTTGGAGCACAATGGCGAGAAGTATTGGCTGTGGCGCAGTTTCCGCAGGATGGCGCAGACAAATGCGTCTGGCGCAAAATGGCGCAGCCTTTCCACCCCTGTACTGGGCTTTCTCTCAATAATGATCACACAACAAACACCAGTCAGGCTTTCCATACAGCGATGTAGGCACGACAGCACAGACCTTTCTTTTTATATACAACTAACAGCATAACATTTTAAAGGCACACCTTGGACAACACTAGTGGAACCAAAATACCAGAAAGCAAGATCAACATCTAGAAAATGAAAGGCTGTTTATGGACACAATACAAGTGCAGCCAGAACAATGCCCGACAGTAGCCACTTCTTTCCTACCTTTGAAACGCTGACATTAAATATTGGAACTGAGCCTTGCTCACAGATACAGATATAGGTGAGGCAATAAAAGTTATGTACACAAAAATTGAGGAGAGATGAAGTTCAGCAGTGCAAGAAAATATCAAATGAATCCAAAAAATGTTAAATTCTGTAGTCGAAAATGAGGAATAGTCTAACAAGATGTCCTATTTTTTAGAACCCAGGCGCTGTTCCATCCATTCAAGACAAACGAGACAACGCACTACAAAATTTGCAGCCTTAGAAAGACAAAACATGACTCCTGTGATTTGGAGTCGAACCACTTCATTAGCAGACAACCCCGAAGGACTACCAATGTGGTCTATTCTACCAGACAAGTCAGTTGGATCGAATCCACTTCAAATAAATCACAATAATCAGTTTCACATGCTTCTTTGAGTGCCGCTTTTGTAATAAGTATGCATATATACTAAAAATGTTTTCACTTCCGCTTTTGTCTACCCAGAAGAACTGTTTGTGAGTTTGTGTTTCTGCATATACTTATAAATGGGCAATTGATTCTGCACAGCTTCTTGGGAAAAATAATTTTCATGCTTTTTTACATGCAACCAGATATTTAGTTAGTTTTTATGTTCACTTGCCCTGTAACACTCCACCCCTTTCTCGAATCCAGTCATTGTATAACACCACCACTCCACCTCACCTGGACATTTCGTCATCAATTACATTGTACCGCAACCAATTGAATGAACACTAATCTGCCTCTTAATTTGTTCTATTTGTTGCTTGGTAGACCTTCTTTTTTTTGATTGCTTGTTCACAATTGTGTACCAAAGTTAAGACTGTTTTGGTTGTTTTTGGACACCTAAATAAAGAATATCATTATTATTAATATTATGACACTGCAATTAACTATGCAAGTGTGGCTAGGTGCTGCATTTTATTTTTCAACATATAGTGAAAGAGAAACTTTTCTTAGTAAACAGTTACAAAAAAAAAACAATACTTCCCTAAGAAGGACATGTAGTTAAGCCTTTTCTTATGTTAAAGTGACAAAATGCTTGGGCCAATAAGGCAATTTGTTAGATAACCGGGAAGCGAGAGAAAAGTGAGAACTTTGTTTGCTCCCATTTCCGTTTCTTGTTAAATGAGCCATTCTGGTGGCTTACAACAATGCCTTTTTTTTTCTTATTTTGACAATAAAAGGCTTGACTCTATGACAGCCTTTAGGAAAAAGACTGTTCTTATTGGTAACTTTTGACAAGGGCAAGAATTTTCTTAGATATTTTCATAAATACAATGCACCACCTAGCTGCACCCATGTGGTAAATTATATTGTGCATCTATAATTAAATTATAGCTGCAAAATTGATTTTTGCATTTCATTTGAAGTGGGTTCAGTCCCCTTGCTTCAGCTGGTAGGCTGTGCCAAAGGCTTGGCAAGTGGCTTTGAGAAAGAGTAGCTAGCATAAACTGCAGTATGAGATCCTAATCACCTGCTGATGTTCTCTACATAAAAAAATAAGGTTCTTTAGGATTGTCCCCTCTGTCCCAGGCTCAACACAAGCAGGATGCTGCATCTTTTGATACCTGTAACTTCTTTAAGATATTAATCATTTTCACAGCCTCAATTTTAAAATTCTGCATAATGCACAACCATACAAAACCTACAGAGGACTGCTGTTGAAAAGATGGGCATCTCCTGCTGCCAAGCTCAATACATAGGCTTCTCTTGGCTGCCAAGTTCAATACCATAAACAATCATAAAAAAAAAATAGCATGTGGCAGTTTGGGAAAAAAGAAATTGTTGCAACTGCTAAGCATGTCATTATTATCACACTAATCCTAATTATGTATACTACATAAAACAAGTACCCTTCCACTAATCCCACTGCCATTAGCAATCAAGTGGACAGGTAGAGAATGGGACACAGCTAGCCTGAACTTACAATCGCCAAGTTTTTGTTTTGCTCGAATGACTAACAGGGCGCTGTCCAAAACTGACCTGCTCGAGTAAATTGTGACAAAGTGCCAATGCCGCATTCGGGCTAAATTGCGTCGCACCAAAAAATCACGTCAGAATCCATCGACAGCTAACAAGGACTCCCTTTTGACCGTCAAAATAGAAACTAAGTTCATGGTTAGACCATCTGTGGGTTCCAACATGCGTTTCTCGTCAATTGCTCATCCATTCAGTTTACGACGATTGCTCGTCAGAGGTAACAAAAGAAAACAGCATCGCCAATTCGCCAGGACAACCTAGGAATCTGACTGACCGCCTATCGAGGTATCCGAATGAGACAGTTGTAGGCGCACGAGATCTGCTCCGACTTCTTCCGGAGAAGTCTCCGGGAAGGACGTTCCATTTAGAAGCTGTGGCGAGGGCCGTGGAGGGCTGTCGTGATGTCCTTTGCGGTGCTGAGACTGGTGACCATCCAGGGACGCTGGGGGACTCTGAACATGAACGAGCCTGTTGTGTCCGAAGGACTCGGGAGCGAGCGCTTCGCTGGCATCTTCACTCGGCTTCGTGCCGTGGGCAGAGCCTTTGCTGACCTTCCTCTCTCCAGTGGAAGGGACATGAACCATCTCATCCTCCGACGTAGAGTCCATGTCACTCGCCTGAAGCAAACCACAAGGAACGGTCATGTGTTGCGAGTTAAGGAACATGAAAAGTACTATTCAGTGAATATTCGGATGCCACTGAAAGCTGCAAAGTCGACAGGGTTGCACTCAAGCTAACCTTTCGGTACAACTCACTTTGCTTAGTCTCACAAAACCAACTACTAAAGCACTATTATAGTGAACACAAGCTAAATGGCACGAAAAGTCCTCGGTGAATAATACTCAGATGCTGCTGAAAAATGCCGCGTTACTAAGGCTGCACTCAAGGTAACCTCTCGGTACAACTCACTTTGTTTAGTCTCACAAAACCAACTACTAAAGCACTATTATAGTGAACACAAGCTAAGTGGCACGAAAAGTCCTCGGTGAATAATACACAGATGCTGCTGAAAACTGCCGCGTTACTAAGGCTGCACTCAAGGTAACCTCTCGGTACAACTCACTTTGTTTAGTCTCACAAAACCAACTACTAAAGCACTATTATAGTGAACACAAGCTAAGTTGCACGAAAAGTCCTTGGTGAATAATACTCAGATGCTGCTGAAAACTGCCGCGTTACTAAGGCTGCACTCAAGGTAACCTCTCGGTACAACTCACTTTGTTTAGTCTCACAAAACCAACTACTAAAGCACTATTATAGTGAACACAAGCTAAGTGGCACGAAAAGTCCTCGGTGTATAATACTCAGATGCTGCTGAAAACTGCCGCGTTACTAAGGCTGCACTCAAGGTAACCTCTCGGTACAACTCACTTTGCTTAGCCTCACAAAACCAACTACTAAAGCACTATTATAGTGAACACAAGCTAAGTGGCACGAAAAGTCCTCGGTGTATAATACTCAGATGCTGCTGAAAACTGCCGCGTTACTAAGGCTGCACTCAAGGTAACCTCTCGGTACAACTCACTTTGTTTGAATTGAATTGAAGTCTTTATTTCTTTCGGATCAACCGAAAGGGGAACAGAGACTAAAGGCAGAAAATGCCTGACGAAGGTCTCTGTCCCCTTTGCAGTTCGTACATACGGTACACTGTATAGTAAACACTCATGCAGTTGTAGAACAATCAGCAATTCAAATAATGTCATAGCTTTATAATACATCATCATGAGGATCGCAACTAGTAATATAGATTGTGAAAGAAACTTTTTCACAAGTTCAAAAAATAAGAACCATCAAATTGTACATGTATAAAAATGGCTATAAAACAGTGTCACTGCCCACCAAGAGTGTCCTCAGCTCTTTTTTAAATTTAGAAAAGGAGTTATTAAAATCCACGAAGGTCCCAATTGAATTTAATAATTTGGTCACCTGATAATCTTTAGTTTGCTTTCCGTAATTTGTTTGAATCTGTGGGGGTCGTCTTAAAGAGTGCCGAAAGGTGTATCTGTGCTCTACATCACTTGTATTTTTATCATAAAGTTTCTCAGTTTTGATACGTTGCATTAACTTGAAATCATAAATTTGGTTAGCCTTGAGTATACCATGTTTTTTAAAGAGTGGCTCAGTTGGAAGGTCTTGCATATTTCCCGTGTAACTTTCAAATAACCGCAAAATTTTCTTCTGTAATTTAAGAATCTTATTGTAGTTTGTGAGCGTGGTGGTGCCCCATACTAAAATACAGTAGCATAACTTTGAGTAAAAAAGAGAGTAATAAATTTGTTTTTTTAACCATGTAGGAATCAGGTTTCTTATTTTATACAAACATCCAACTGCCTGAGAAAGCTCAGCAGTCAACTTATTTACATGTGCATTCCAGCTAAGCTCCTGGTTAAACCAAACGCCTAAAAGTTTTTGTTCGGGGACTTGCTCTATAATCGTGTTTTCGAAATACAGAGTTATTGGAGTATTATCATGTTTGTTTATTGGAGCAAAAATTATATACTTGCTTTTCTTAGAATTTAGTTGCAGTTTATTTCTATTGAGCCACACTGCTAATTCAGCGAGATAGCTATCGAAGCGAGATAGCTAGTCTCACAAAACCAACTACTAAAGCACTATTATAGTGAACACAAGCTAAGTGGCACAAAAAGTCCTCGGTGAATACTCAGATGCTGCTGAAAACTGCCGCGTTACTAAGGCTGCACTCAAGGTAACCTCTCGGTACAACTCACTTTGTTTAGTCTCACAAAACCAACTACTAAAGCACTATTATAGTGAACACAATATAAGTGGCACGAAAAGTCCTCGGTGTATAATACTCAGATGCTGCTGAAAACGGCCGCGTTACTAAGGCTGCACTCAAGGTAACCTCTCGGTACAACTCACTTTGCTTAGCCTCACAAAACCAACTACTAAAGCACTATTATAGTGAACACAAGCTAAGTGGCACGAAAAGTCCTCGGTGTATAATACTCAGATGCTGCTGAAAACTGCCGCGTTACTAAGGCTGCACTCAAGGTAACCTCTCGGTACAACTCACTTTGTTTAGTCTCACAAAACCAACTACTAAAGCGCTATTATAGTGAACACAAGCTAAGTTGCACGAAAAGTCCTTGGTGAATAATACTCAGATGCTGCTGAAAACTGCCGCGTTACTAAGGCTGCACTCAAGGTAACCTCTCGGTACAACTCACTTTGTTTAGTCTCACAAAACCAACTACTAAAGCACTATTATAGTGAACACAAGCTAAGTGGCACGAAAAGTCCTCGGTGTATAATACTCAGATGCTGCTGAAAACGGCCGCGTTACTAAGGCTGCACTCAAGGTAACCTCTCGGTACAACTCACTTTGCTTAGCCTCACAAAACCAACTACTAAAGCACTATTATAGTGAACACAAGCTAAGTGGCACGAAAAGTCCTCGGTGTATAATACTCAGATGCTGCTGAAAACTGCCGCGTTACTAAGGCTGCACTCAAGGTAACCTCTCGGTACAACTCACTTTGTTTAGTCTCACAAAACCAACTACTAAAGCACTATTATAGTGAACACAAGCTAAGTTGCACGAAAAGTCCTTGGTGAATAATACTCAGATGCTGCTGAAAACTGCCGCGTTACTAAGGCTGCACTCAAGGTAACCTCTCGGTACAACTCACTTTGTTTAGTCTCACAAAACCAACTACTAAAGAAGAATTATAGTGAACACAAGCTAAGTGGCACGAAAGTCTTCGGTGAATAATACTCAGATGCTGCTGAAAACTGCCAAGTAACGAAGGTTGCACTGAAAGTAACCTCTAGGTACAACTCTGTTTGCCCTCTCAAAGCAAGCAACTAAGGCATTATATATATAGTTACCGCAAGTTGAGGGACATTTAAAATATTTAGTGAATACTCAAATGCCACTGAAAATCGCAGTTGCCAAAATAGAACACTTGCCAAATCCCCCAAGCACCCCGGCCCGTATTCGAGAAATCATGGGAACTCTGTTCTTCCAGTTCCCTAGGTATTGGTAATTTTGACCAATTCGATGCTCACACACCTTTGAGTAATCCGGAGTCATCCTGTCATATCACTTCTATAATTTCTCGTCAATGTCAGCTTTCTACAGCGGAGCTAGGGACACTGACAGGGTATTTATGCTCGCCGAGGGTTTTAGTTGTACATGACATATGAGAGCCCAACCACCTTGAACACAATTTGCGGCTCGAAATTCGGTTTCTTTCCACCCGAAAACCGCCGATCAAGAACTGGCCGGGAGTCTCGCTCACTCTCTTTTCCGTGGTCACGGGCCGTTTTCTAAGGTTTCGACGCGACCACCACATTCAATCGAAGTCGTTGGTCACTAAAGGCACACACTCAATATTAAAAATATAAAAAAATAAGAAAACAATATTTGGTTGCTTCTAAAAAGCTGCAAATACGTTGATTGAAAAAAAAAGTTGCACAGAGAACCGGAAGCATTGTGTGTGTGCATCGTTTCGCTATCATGGGACTTGTGGGGACGGCGATGGCAGCGGACGACAGGCGTGGGACCTCTACTTCAGAACTGTCGTTCGCGGTACCGGCGAATTCTGTCTACCTTTAAAAGAGAAATTTGGGACTAATAAAAAAAATTGGTATTCATCCCGTACGACACGCCCGACCACCAAGCCGATTTGCACGAAAACGTCGCCGAGCCGTCGCTCCCTTCTTGTGGCTGAAGACATCGCTCGCGCAAACATCAAGCACCGCACGAAGTGTGTACTTCGAGTTGAATATGCACACATACAATTTCTTTACTAGGTGCGAATGTCGCCAATGCGTGGTGCTTCGACTTCGACCCGAGAGTGGAGGAAAATTGGCAGCAAACTTTCCAACTTACAGTTTACCGGCTTTATTATTACTGAGGAGGGAGTTCCCCCAGTAGCTCAGTGGAAAGACGTTCGCTTCACACGCGGCAGGATCGGTGAAACCATACTTTTTTTTTTTTTTCAGACATTTTGCAATGTTTATTTTTGTTTTTTTTTACAATTATCACTGAAGAAACACACAAAAAAATAGCAAACAAATGACATTGAAGAGAAATTTTAAAAGTGCTATGAATGGTCTTTGGACTCTATAGACCTTTTCATTCCAGTAGTTGCCTGACCGGCGGGTAGAGGGCGCTGGCGCACTCGCCGCCATTAGGTTGCTTCAATTTGGTCGGTTTCGGTTTCAACGTGCAAGCGATTGTGATGCTGTTTCATGCCACTTTCGATTAATTTTGCGATATGAATTTCTTTCTAGTAGCACACAGCAAATGAAACAATAGTATTGGGCCACTTGGCAAACCACAAAGTGGTTTCGAGCCTAAATTGCGATCTTTTTTTTACGAACACCATATGCGTCTGATTCCCTCCATCGTTAATTTCGGCCAGGTTCGGCGGTGAAACAACTGCGCTGATGCACAGGGAGGAGCACCATTGTCCACGGCCGTACCCGCAAACACTTATTTTAAGAAAAAAAACAAAAAAAAAAACAACTAAAGAGCAGGACAAACTCCGCCTGCAGCGTGCGCTCGTTGCCTGCCGCCGTGCTTTGGCTGTGCGTGCACCGAGCGGTACGCAAGGTAGATAGCTCACGCTCAAGTCAGATATTGAACTGATCATCTTATATTGCATGAGTGCTTAGTGAAAAAGCAGGTCGACAATATGATTAACAATCTGCTGAATCACCAAGAACAGATGAACTGACAAGTTTACTGTTCGATGTTTGGTTTCCGTACACCAACCTTTTCTAACTTCAAGACTCGAAACGTCTTTTATAATGACTAGAAAAGTTTCATATAATCACGTAGACAAGGACCTGTGTAGAAAGCTGTTCACTGATTTGAGGCGATGCGCTTTGCACATTTTGACGTCGCCAGCTACTGAAAGTAAATCCCTATTCGCCGTCGACAACCGGCTGCACTAGGGTGATTTTTATGCAGAAGGATTCTTTTCGGCGCCGCATTTTGTGAATCATAGGCACTATCAAGCTGTCTGTGACAGTTTCTTACGTGGGAAGTTCAAATATTTGTGTTGAAATAAATTAATTGAAACTGCATGGTTCTATTAAAAAGTGACTCAAGCAACTGAAACACTATGGACATGGGACCAAGCACGATATACAATTCCGTGGAATTCCTAAATAAACCGATGAAGCGAATGCTCATATGACACACGCGATTAAGAACGTAAAACAGATATGGGTGTGATATTGCGAACAAACAAGTTACCTAATGTTAAGGTACCATTGTTCCTAGCATAAAAAATAATTCAAACTAAATGTTTGTTCCCGCGTGTCTTGTCCACAAGTTCCCTGGTGTAATCAAAAGAAACTGTTTTCGATCTGTTGTTACTACAAAACACCACGTTTTCAGGGAAAACACTTGGCTAATTACGCTGAGTGTTTTTCTTTCCTTCCTTGACACCAATGCGCACTCATATATAAGAACATCGGGTTTTCTATTGCAAATGTTCCGCCCTTATTAGTAATCAAACCTCAGTTCTCATAAGTTATTGGTTTTTGAACCCTCGATATTCAATGTGCGCAAGTGCTAACGCTGATTCCTGTTCCTCTAAAACCTTTCACACGTATCCCGCACGCCGACGGTAAAAAATATTCAAAACGTGTTACAAAATCAACTACAGAAGTTGTGCGCATAATGATGTAATGCAATTGCATGGAAGACACTTTACGGAGTAAGGCAACTTGCAAGAGGCGCGGTGAAACGCGACGAAAAACACGAATTCAACGCATCCGCCAAGGCGCGGACGGGAGAGCGGAGCAACAAGTTGAAGCAATCTAATGGCGGCCGCATCACGTGATTCCAAGATGGCAGCGCCCATGCGGCGGGGGGTGAAAAGGTCTATAAAATGCTTATTCAGGATGACTCTGGATTACACTCAAAAGTGTGAAAACATTGAATCGGTCAAAATTACCGATCACTAGGGAACTGAAGGATGTGGGAGCCGAGGGTGAAAGACGAGGCAGATGACACGTGACAGGTGGTCGGCGGAGAAGTCACGAGCTGGCGCGAGACGGTGCGTGCAGGGCGAGGCTGATGCTGGGACATGAACGACAAGGCCGGGCTGCCTGGCCTGGCCCATGCATGGCGAACCCTGGAGCGGTCCACCAGCGAGGTCTGGAGCAAGACCGGTGGAAACGGCGAGCCCTGGCCATGTGACCTGGGCTACGACTATCCCGGGGTGGTTCCGCAGCGAGACTCGGGCATTGATAGCCTGGGACAGCCAGCCTACGCAGCGCTGGCGTGGGAAAGGCGATCCGCAGGCCTGGGCACGGACTTCAACTTTGAGCTCTGATCGACGGGCGACAACAAGGCCTGGACTGCCGGTTCTCGACGACGGGCAACCGAGAGCTACAGTAAACCCAATTGCTGTCTTCTCGTTGCTGTATGTCACTCCCTGGGTGACGGGCGGAGCGCATATTGATCGGGCGGCAATTATTAGTAGAGGGAGTTCCGTAGAAAACCCAACAAGGAGCACTGTTCCCATGATTCCTCGAGTCCGGGCCGGTGCACTTGGGGGATTTAGCAAGTGGTCTAATGCAGTCAATGTAACCTCTCAGAGGAACTCACTTTGCTTAGGCTGTCAAAGCAAACTGCTAGAGTGTTAATTGTATAGTGAACACAAGTTAAATGGCATTAAAAGCCTTAATGAATAAATACTGACATGCCACTGAAAACTGCAAAGTAACCAAAGTTGCACACGGGGTAACCTCTCTGTGCAACTCACTTGGTTTGGCTTATCAAAGCAGCCTAAAGCAACCTACCGTACATCTCCCCCAAAATGTAGTCAACCTTATAATACATATGCAGTGTCAATCCATCTCCCCAAGTCATGAAAATCACGGCCATTCCAGCCCCCTTTTGAAAAAATTCCTGGCTACGCCACTGCTCAAAGTCTGGAATGGGCACTTAATGCCATTTGCTTAGTTTCCAATAATTTCAAAAGTTTTGAATCGGCACTTATTGCAACATGAGCACATGCTCAATATTTCATGGTACTGGTATAATATACCAATCCCTGCTGAGAGCAGAAAAAAGAGAGTTAATGCACAATATTTAGGACCATTTCATTGCTTTACAAAATAAGTGGTGTCTTCATGAGGCTTTTCCAGCCTTCTTAGTTACAGAACAAATAAAATAAAGAATGGGCTCATAAATTGTGCAGGATTTACTGTTTATGAACATAAAGATTTTTCTAGCTTGGGGTGGAACAAGTGTTTCGAGGAAGACGAAAGTGGAAGTGCGTCTTACGTGTCGAGGTGACATGCGGCAGCCACGAACCAGGAAGTTGCTTAGCCGGCCGCAAGATGCTAGCACGAGGCCCAGGTATGGGGGAGACGGCTTCAGTGGACGGCTGATGTACTCGGGGTGGAACTGGACCCCCACAAAGTATGGGTGGTCTGCAAGGTGCCCCGCCAAGGTTCAGTCCTGAGCCTTTTGATTATGGCTTCCAGTTTGCAGAGTTTACTTTTCTCAAGCATGCATAACGCAAAGTCCAATGGGAACAGGAAGAATTTGGGCTTGACAACAACCACTTTCAAGGAGTAATCTCAATTACAGTGCAGCCCACTTACAACAAATCTACTAAAAAATACTTCCGTTATTAATAGAGTTTTGTGTTTTCGGATAAATCCCTTAAAATGCGAAATACACTAGCCGGTAAAATGTTCGTCAATTCAGATTTATCCCAAAAAAAACTCAAAATTTCGATGTCGGGATGGCAAAAAAGAAATATGGTATGCTATAAATAAGGTTGGTAAGAGCACAGAATCACCGGTCCTGAGGACAGGCGTATCCCCTATTGACAAAAAGGGGTGTACTGGTTATCTCGTCAAGTTCTGTTCAGGTCAACAAGTCATTGTAATTTTGCGTGACATCGAAAGTCGCTGTTCTATAGTTTTCAGTTTGGACCTCTTAGAAGAAGGTGGGGTTGCCTTTTTATAGCAGTGAAAGCTATGGTCATAGGAAGGAGGGGGCAGCTAAAGGTTCTACCTCACCACACCGCCCTGCTCAGCCGCAAGGTGGAGCGGTAGAATGCGATGGGAAGAAAACAAGGTTCCCAGAGACAGCGTCAAGGATCTCGGTGACCTTGAAGTATCAACAATTATTAAAGTAACATTTGTCTGTAAGTTTTGTTGTGGGACAGTTAGTATTACCAATGGCAAGGGCACAAATGCCCAGTCCAGCTGAAAAAATATCATGCGATACAGGTGAGTTCTTAAGAATTTATAGGTTTGTGTCTGTATATTTGTTTTTGTATTAAACTTCAAACGTTTGGGGCACACAGTAATATTAAAGTTCGAATTTTAGAGAACTGCGAATTTATCATAAATAATCACCAACAAACATTTTTCGGGGAAAAAGGAAAAACTTTGAAAAATATTTTTTTGAAGTTCATGAGAAATAAACTGTAGGGTGATTTCAGATAAGATCGACCAAAGGGTGGCTGGTCGACATTTTTAAATCAACTGATGTTTTTATATGACATTGTCTAGTGTCTGATATAAACGAATCCACACTTAGTTTTGACCAGAAAAAAAATTTGGAGACAAGAAAAATCGTAAGGCAGGGAGAGGTGGACAGTTGCAATAACGCGCACTGATGGAGGGGGCAAGTTTGAAAGTGAATAATTAAAACAATAAAATTAGGAGAATTTTAAAACTTTTTACAAACAAACTATGGGTACAACTTGCTTGTAATATAAAGTAATAATATTTATTAAAAATGTATTTAGTTTTCTAAAAATTGCCAAACATGCCTGCTCGAACGACAAATGGCAAACTTTGGAAATCTGTATCTCATGAAATAATTTAATCATTATTACATAACTTGCAGACATTATTTTACTAATATATGGCTATTATTGAAAAAATAAATAAGGTATCTGAGTGACACAATAGTTACAATATATTTAGGCAAACATGGGAAAAAAATCAAACAAAGAAAAATTCCAATGCGAATAAAAAAAAAACAACACCTTCGATTTTTTTTAAATTTGGGTACCCTGTTATCTTCTATTTCGGCATTCATTTCTATTAAAAACATGTTGCATCATTGCGCTGTGAAAGAAGAAACAACTCCCCAAAGTAGGGTCCTTTTTCAAAGCCTACACTTAGCAGTGTCCTATACAAGAAGTGACTCTGAGTTCCAGTTTCATGAAACTTGCACAAATCTTTTATATACATTTATTCAGATGAGGTCATTGATAAAAAGAGCGATCGGTCACACAGTAAAAGGGAGGAGAAACCATATACAGCATTTTACATAAGCGTACAAAGTGGTATCATATTAGAGACTAATGATTTGAGAAAAGATGATGCAGTGTGAAGTTGTACCTTCCGGTATATTTTACATCTAGAGTAAAATAAATAACTTTACTTCCACACACAAAAACAAAGATATAATAGTAAGATATTTAGGTTGGCTATGTATTTACGATTACAAACAATTTCAGGTGACGGATGCCATAGTGCCTAACTGGAGCAGCTTTGATGCTCTCGGTGTATGAATGAATCGTGGCAAGCCGATATATTTTATCCTGCTCGAGGATAACATTTTGGGATTTTTTTTATAGTGATCAGATAAAAATTATTAGTAACCACCAACAAAAACAGTAGGTTAAATACCCCGTGAAGAAAAATGTGATAAATAAAATGTCCCTGCATTCAAAATGAGCAGTCCTTGGGAAATCAAATTCGGCACTTTACGCTAAGGTTTTCCTCGCTGTACCCATTTAATAAAGTTGCTTCCAAGCAGATCCGACTGTCCGTGCTACATATACGTCACAGGTCCCTTCTGTTGATGACTTGCTGAGCCGCCACGCGTGCCAAGACTGAATGCCAGGGAAGGCGCGCACCGTCAGCCACTCTTCTTTTTTTTGTTCACGATACCGAACAACCTCATTTTCGTCCAGATATACAAGATGCACGCCTTTCAGTTTCTTTGATAGAACGCTCACCATTGTCCTGGCCGTCTGAATTGCGCTTACTGAACGTTCTCTCAGGTTGTTCAGCGTGGCCTGGTGCTTCACGAGTCCGCCAACTCCGTCACATGCATTTTTCCCATGTCCAGATGCAGAAAATAACCACTGGGCTTGTGGGCAATCGTCCTTTGCAAATTGGTGAAGCTGGTAGCGATTCTTGAAATGACTGGCGGCGCCGTCACTTACGTACGTCACGTACGAGTATACCGCAACGTTGTCTTCAACCCACTCCTTCACTTTTTCTAGAGCCAAGCAAGCGTGAGCGGCGTCGTGACACAGGTCCTCACTGATGATGGCAAAGCTGTTTGTAGATTTTCTTGTCGTCACTACACATGTAAATATCAAAACTTGTTTTTTTTTTCCAGTGATATGCTTGCACTTCGTCAGGAAGCACGATGGTCCAGTTTTCAGCAAAGTCAAAATGAAAGACAATGCTCCCGCGTTGCACGCACTGTTTTTCATCGTAGATCGCTTTACCTTGCGTTTGCCGGATATGGTTGTGAAGTACCCAACTTCCAACCGTCACTTGGATGACTTTTAGGAAAGTCTCAGGTTCCAAAGTTTTTTTCACAAGGTCGCCGGACTCCCATGTTGCAAGCACAATCTCTTCATCCTCCGGGATATCAAGTTCCTGGAGTGTAAGAAACTGGCCGTTTGGGCAGTGATCACAGTCTCCTTGAAGGCACAGTTCTGTTGCTGGGTCGCACAGAAATGCCGAGTTCATTTCACCAGTGTTGAATGTTGAGCCTGTAACGTTCTCTAGAGCGGCAATACAAAGATAATAATTGGCGCAGCGCACACAAACGCACACTTCCTGGTGTGGAATACATTGGACCCATCTAGGGCGCAACGAATAAAATTTCGTTAGCCCAACGCCGGAATCGGGATGCTTGTCTTTGTATACACGGAAGGCCTCTCGTATTGAGCGTGTCATGAAGCGCTTTGGCACGAACGTTTTCTCTCCGTTGAGCATGACAGAGATGACGTCCTTCTGGTTGGGACTTTGGCGCGAACATTGTAGCTCGTCTTTCGTGAAGTACTCTAGAGCAGCAGACAGGTTCTCAGGGCTCACCTTGCACCTCGTGTAAGGATCCGGCTCATACCACACGCCATGCTTTTCCTTGAGTTTTCGGGATTTACTGATGAGGTACATTGAGGCCTGTGGAATCATCTTTTGAACCTCATTCTTCGTCAGTGTTGACGGCAGGAGTGTAAGCAGTTGACAATGTTCCCGGAGAGAGGTGGCGGCTTCAAAGGCCTGCCGAAAGTTGTTCACCCACTCAGTGCATGTGGAGCATGTTGGTTCGGACGACCCCGATGGTGCGTCCCTGTCGTACGCAATACGTAGCCTTGAGCGTATATTCTTGACAGCAACCTGCTCCAGTTCTGTCTGCTTTCTCTTGACATAGGCAGGCCTGTCCCGACTTCTTACGACGCTTGGTTCTCTCAGCGGCGACACATCTGTAGGTAGTATGCTGCGATTTAGATCTTCAATTGCTTCTTCAGCTGGCACAAATATGTCAGGGCACTGCTCTGAGCTTCGCATCGAGATCTCCTTAGTGATGTGCATGAAGCAATGGTAGCACAGGTAGTCCGTCGCACTCACTTTGGTGGAACAGTCAGGCGGAAGTATTTGCTTCAACGAGTTTAGGTCCAACTCGCCAACACTTCGAAAATTCCGCTGCTTTGGTATAGTCTTTTTGTGTTTGCAAAAGTAATCTGCACAAAACACTCGTTCGGAGCTCCAGGACGTCTTCATAATGTATACATAAATAATAGAAATTAAACCCCAACTGATGGCATATAATTGCCAAGTGAAAGAACTACTGGGTGCAGAAGTGACAAGTCCGAGGCTGAGGAGCTCACTCACTGCAAACGTACATTTGAAAAGAGAGGTCACAACCGAGGCTGTCGGCAAAGCTTGATCCACGTCAAAGGAAGAAAGAGGGAAAGTCTCCAGACAAAAAATTGTGGTCAGCGGCCTTCGAAAAAGACTTTCCGGAATCGCACTGTCGTCCCTCCACGCGCTGATATGAAAGCACCCGAGCTTCTACCACGTGGTTCATGACACAGCCTGAGCCATGTCGGCGACCGGTTCGCGAGGGGTTGGCGGTGGGGTTACGTTGATGGTCACTCGGATTAGCCCTTGCTGTACTGAGCTACCGCCTGCAGTGCCTTATCGCCGGCTGGTGTCAACAACGAGAACACACACACCCTGTCTACTCCAAAATTACAAGCGTTCACCGCACACGCGTCGCCGCCGCTTTTAAGCTTTTGTGAAATTGCTTTCTTTTGCCGCGGAGAACCGCCTTATCTTAACTACGCGCCTGAAATCCTTCCAGGCGGGCGTACACGATATCAAGCGTTTCGAGAAATGCCCGTAGAGTAGAACTATGGGAAAATTCGGAGCCCGAGATGTCGATATCGTCGCCGTTGTGTTAGTACGCCGTCGCGTACTGCAGTCCCCCGTTGAGGGAGGGGGGGGGGGCGGTTTTACTACGATAACATGGCGACAGCGTTTACACTCTATGTATTTACGCGAGGCTCGAGTATTTGGGGATAATGCTGCCGGTTGGTGTGCCCCTTTGTGCCTGATATTATCGCCCGTGACGCCAGCGAGTGAGATGGCGACAGGCATGACTGCTCAGTAAACAGGCGTCGGCGGCCATGTTTTGCTGGTTGAAGCGAACCCCCTTGTCCTTGACAGCGAGCGGGGAAATGCGAAAAAAAGATTGTATCGGCCGTTTTGCCAGAACTAGCGACGAGTGTCGTCTGCGGTTTCCGGCAACTATTTTGCCATAATCGTGAGCTTAGCGAGGAAATGATTTTTGCTAGCCACAGAACACTACCACGCAGAAAGGGAATGCTTGAACATGTTTTTGTCCTGGATATATATCAGGGATATATATGAGAGAGAGAGAGAGAGAGATGAAGGTAGAGCGGAAGAGGGAATAGCATATAGTGTCGCAGGAGAATAAAGTAAAGAAAGTTCCTAGTGGCCGATGGCTGCATGATCTTTTCTCGGATCACTAGTCCGTAATATGATACCTCTTTGTACACAGTAGTTTCTCCTTAATTTAAGTGTGTGAACGATTTCTTTAGTTATCATTGGCCTCATCTGAATAAAAATATATAAAAGATGTGTGTTGGTTTCATGAAACTGGAACTCAGAGTCAGTCCTTGTATAAAACACTGCTAAGTGTAGGCTTTGAAAAAGGACCCTACTTTGGGGAGTTGTATCTTCTTTCTCAATAAAATGATGCAACATGTTTTTAATGGAAATGAATGCCGAAATAGAGTATAACAGGTTACCTAAATTTAAAAAAAATCGAGGGTGGTGTTTTTTTTTTATTCGCATCGGAATTTTTCTTTGTTTGATTTTTTTTCCATGTTTGACTAAATATATCCTAACTATTGTATCACACAGATACCTTAGTTATTTTTTAAATATTAGCTATATATTAGTAGAATAATATCTGCAAATTATATCATAATGATTAAATTATTTCATGAGATACAGGCCTCCAAAGTTTGCCATTTGTCGTTCGAGCAGGCATGTTTGTCAATTTTTAGAAAAATAAATACATTTTAAGTAAATATGAGTATTTTATATTACAAGCAAACTATACCCATAGTTTGCGCCTAAAAAGTATTAGAGTTCTCCTAATGTTATCGCTTTAGTTATTCACTCTTAAACGGGCCCCCTCCATCAGTGCGCGTTAATGCAACTGTCCACCACCTCATGCCTTACGATTTTTCCTGTCCCCAAGTATTTTTTCTAGTCAAAACTAAGTTTGGATTCGGTCATACCGGACAATAGACAATAACATATAAAAACATCAGTTGATTTGAAAATGTCGACTAGCCATCCTTTGGTCGATCTTATCTGAAATCACCCTGTAAAACCTCAGACCCCTGGTTATAACATACACAAGGATGAAAAAACAAATTTCAAGGAAGGCATATCATGTGCAAATGATAGTCCACTTATAACAGGCTTTTAATATATAATAAACATAAAAGCTCTCAAGCTTGCAAAAAGAGATCGCTGTACACCGGCAATTAGTCCAACCCATCAGACAGAATGTGACAATTCTAGCTTTAGGTGTTGCAACATTGTTGGCAGACTAGAAATCCAGCAAGAAATATGCCATTGAGGCTACTATATATTGCAAACATGCCTTGTTAGGGATTCACTAAATAATTATATACATATAAGTAGAAAGGAAGACTCATTCTTACATCATTTTCTTCCAATAATCAAACTTGCTCAATATATCTGCTGGAAATGCATTTGGTGGCAACCCATCAGGGTGTTCTGGTACTACTACTACTATACACTATGGCAAAAAAACTCGATATTCTGGTTATCATATATTATAGCAGGCATTCTCGCTCAAAAGCCTTAGCCGAGAAACGGAACAAAACCATACTCTGCACCCTCTTCCAAGCTTTTGCAGTAAAACTTTTAATGAAAAATCACTTACGATCTTTATGGTAATCATCATATGAACCAAGGAAGACTATGAAAATACCGTATTTACTCGCATAACGAAAGCAACCCCCACAACGGGTACCAATATTTGGACTTTTTTTTCCCTCTCGTAATGAACGCACCTCCAATTTCCAGCTCCGCGAGTCTCGAATTGCGTCCAACTGAGCTAGACACCAAGCCCACCAAGCCAATTTTCTTTTGCCGCCAAGTGGTCAAGCCAAGCCAAGCCAAGCCACTCTCATAATGGCTGCAAGCGCATAGTTGCGGAAGTGATCAACCGTGAATCCGAGCAGCGCGCACACTTGACAAAGCTAGGGTTGAGGAATTGCCCAGCCCCGGACATTCTCCGCCTATTGGATACATTGATGTCAACAAAAACGTTATCGTCTGTGGTCCGCTTTCGGACAGTAAAACCGTGCAAGTGATTAGGCCTCAGAACGGTCGCGTTGCTCTCCGTGCTGAGTGAGCTTCGTGGGGCACTTTTCCTTCAGCAAAAGGCACACCGGAAGCACCCTAAAAAGGTTAGCAATTTATGAAGCATGGTTACTGTGGTGCGCCTCCATCAGTGGAGACGTGCCACAGTACCTTGCCGTGTCATATTGGCTCCTAATATGGCATTTGCACGAATTCACCCCGCGTAATAAATGCCCCCCCCCCCCCCCCCCCCCCCCAAATATGTGTCAATTTTTCTGGAAAAAAGTGTGTTCATTTTGTGAGTAAATAGGGTACCAAAACTGACCAGCACTACAAGGAGCACTGCAAGTGCCTTGCTTGCCAGCACCCTTCGTCTACCCTTACCGTACGATCCTATCAAATTAACATTTTTCTATTACCGGGGAACTCTATGATCTCCATGCGTTTGCCAGTGTCGTCCTTTCCCACAAAGTGGAGCCCTGCTTTCTCCAGGTCAGAAGCAAAGGCTGGGTTCACCTCGTACCGATGCCGGTGCCTTTCTTCGATCACGTCCGCATTCATGTACAGCTTCCCTGCATGTGCACCAATGCACATAGTAGGTACACTTCACCACAATAGAACTTGCACATAGACAGAAGCACATATAGGTAACATTAACCTGTCAACATGCCTAACAAAAAAAAAAGAAAAAAGCTGGAAAAATCAACATTTGCAAAAGCAAGCAAAAATATTTTTTTTAAGGTGTACTCTCGTGGCCAGTATTACTACGTGACGTTTCAGGATGTTGGTCCATGTCAGTGCGATTGAAAGGTGGGGGTTTTACAGGACAAACCAACAAAGGGCATCTGGCATGCCCCAGAATGTGAATGCTGGGGCATGCATGTGAGGATTAATTTTGATCACCCGGGGATCTTTTGACATGGAACCAAAATTTCAGTTACACAATATCCTCTCCGCAACAAGCCTCCATCCGTTTGCTAGGCCATTTTGGTGAAACGCAACAATAAAATATGACCGGAAATTTCGAGGTCATACCCAGACACCACAGAAGACGATGACAATGACATGTGGTGCCACATGTCATTGGAGCTCAAGGAGTGTGCCAGCGAGAAAATGGGCTTTTGCGAAAGCCTGAATCTCCCTCGAGTCTAGTCGGAGGTCGTGCCCACCCAGACAAAAAGTATGTCAGAGGCAAAGGGGGCGAAAAATTCACGCCTTTCCCACACTATTGTGGCAAAGGCAGTGATAACACAGAGTGTATTGTGTGCTGCCTCACGGTGCTGGAGCCCTGCCGAAACCAGCGCTCCAGCAAGAGCTGAACATGCTGTTCTCCCACATTTTGCCATTCAGGACTGACAATCTTGTAAACCCGGGCAAATGAAGGCATGTGCACTCACTTAGGATGGAGTCATGGGTGTTGAAGATAGTCTTCCGCTTGCCCAACCGCATTGTCCCACCCATCTGGCCAACGTGGTGCTCTGGCATCTCAATGATCTGCACATCGCACACATTACTCATGCAATGAAGCTGCTTTATTAATAATAATAATGATGATGATGATTACGCTTTATTTTTGTGTAGTGGCGACAAACACACGAAATGCCTTTTGTGTTGTGAACTGAACAGTTGCCAAGGCACTAGGTTTAAGAAAATACTTAGTGCGATCTGAATGAATAACAAAAATGTCACAAACCTTAGCAGCTATCACACTGGAAAGTACAAACTCGAATTGATTACACCTTAAAAAAGCTTTTTGTGCCATGAGATTTGTTCATTATTACAAAATAATTTGCTCCAAATAAAGAAAAAACAAATGACTGCCAAGTCTGAAAGAAGAGAGCTGACAAAGCAAGTCTACATCCCGCAGGTAATTTGTTTGTTCTTTGAGAAAATAAAACGACTGACATCTAGTCATGTGGGAATGGTGTTTTTTAGTTGAAAGCGAATTCGAAGCGAATAGTGGTTTGGCCAAATATTTCCCAATCGATTAGCAGACAGTTTCTTAAAGCCGTTCAGTACTCCTGCACCATGTTTAAACGAAAACCCAGCTAAACTCTAAATGTTGTTCCCAAGCTTTCACTTGTCCATTTATAAGCTAATTCGAATCTAACTATATTTATAAACTGTGACTTCAAAAAGGTATGATGCCTTGGGATGGCAAGTAATTAATGGATGTGACATAAAATTAGACCTGTACAGATGCTTAGTTAAACCTAATTGAGTGGATTTACAAATCTTGTTACAGTAAAACCTCGTAATAACAAAGTTGAAGGAGCGGTCGTAATTATTTCGTTATAACCATTAGTTTGTTATAGCCAATGTCCATTTCTTCTCACTATTAGCAAGCAAGGGGAATTATGATTGCTTTGTTATATCCATTAGTTTGTTATATCCCGTTTTGTTATAACGAGGTTTTACTGTATACCCTTTTACGGGAGATATCTGGGAAAAAGTAGGTGGGTGGGTGAATCTACAAGATTCGTCCACCCACCTTTTTGAAATAATCTCGAAGTTTGTTACTTTCATACACGTGATAAACACCGCCGATCCGCATACAGCGCGAATGCTCATTTCGTGAAAGCATGTTTCTAAAACCATGCATGTTCCCTTCGTTAGGCTCCCTAGCTTTTGCTGATGTTAAGATTAAAAAATGGACGAAGTAAAAAAGAAGAGTCAACAAAAAAACTTTCAGCCTTTCCACTCTGATGAAGAAGGAAGACCAGCGGAGCTGTACAATGGAAAGCAATGGCTGGCGGCAAGTCGGCAAGCCAGAGGAAAGGCTGCCGCCATCTATGAGCGACGGCGGCAACCAGATACGTGGCTTGCCGCCGTCGCCCATAGATGGCGGTAGGTGTCCAGAGTTTGGCGCCTTCATTTCTTTGCGGGGGACACGATCCTGGGGAAACTATCCCTTAACAGCTCCGCTGTAAAAATAGAAAAACCAACTAGGTGCAACCAGCCAACGAGCAAGTGGGCAAAAGAAGCAACGAAGAGTGGTGCTGGGGAAGCGGTAAAGTCCACCATCGCATTGGCAAATACTTTGGTGTCGGGCCAAGTCGGGCACCTTGTCATTCCTAAGGAGCAGGTTCTTGTGCAACTTTCTTGTTTGGTGCATACATGCGTGTGTCCGAAGACTTCTAAAAAGGAAAGTCTGCCCAGGTGTAGCCAGTTCTTTGGAATTGCTAATTTTGGAGGTAGGGCAATAAATATAGATTTTCTTTGACAGATGTTTTGACACAAAAGGGGGGTGGGCCAAAGCTCAAGGGTGGGGGGGGGATCGGTGGCCGAGTGGGCTAACGCGTCTCGGCTTGGAGCTCAGCTTGAAGGGAGGGGAGGGGTGGGGGGGCACTACAAGTTACGTGAAACGGGAACACTTGGACTCCAAAGTTTCCTAACTTTTCCTTCACCACAGTCTCGGGTTTCAAACATCATGATTAACTATATCACCAGCTTGCCTGCACACTCACTGTCTGTCTTTTCAATAAACATATCGCGGACACGGCAGACTCGCGTGTGCGGGAATTCGCTACTAACTCCCCTGTCACGGGTACGGCAGCAGAACACAGACGCAGCACATTCACGCTTTACAGTGCGATACACGAGCAGGGACTCGGCCACTACAACCTCAAGTGTCACAGGAACCAATATTGCGTGCACGAATCGCAGACAAAAATAATAATAATAATATTGCAGTCATAAAATCAATTGATTTTATCGACAAATCCTATATTAGTATATATACAATGTCAGAAACCACAAAAGGTAGCCTAATGCAGGTCTCCGAGTAAAAAGTATAGAAGCGTAGAAATCTGGGCGAGTTAGTGATGCATTGGAATGAAAAAAACAGCGCAAACAAAACGACGGACCAGTAGAAGAATAAAAACTAGATTAGCATGGCAGTACCAACACAAAACAGTGTTGCTGTCAGATAACTCACTTGAAGATAATGAAGCAGTAAGTTCTATAAAAGACCGGACAGACAGTACTTTTTTTGGTTTGCTGCTGTGCACTTTTTAGTTATTAGGCGTAGGTGCAACTATTGTGGAAAAAGAATATTGAACCAGTGCTCTACAATTCAACAATATTGGCTGGCTGTTCTTTAGCCTATTGTAAGACACTGAGGATAGAAGTGAAAAGAAGAAAACAAAAACAACTTACAACGGGGTACTTGCTCTCCGGGTTGATTTCGGTCGAGTTTGCGTCGGCCCAGCCGAGCACGTTACGACAGAACTCGATCACGGCGCATTGGAGACCCAGGCAGACACCTGCCAGATTATGTGTGAGTGTGACTTCTTTGCATCAAGACAAAGTCGCAGCACTAGTAATAATGACCACAAACAGCCAACTTTCCAACTCCATGTTCTACAGCACTGACAGCACTACAAAGGCAACTTAATGCAGCAATTTTAATCTCGCACCCTATTATAACTGATACAGTGAACGGCAAATGTAGGTTACAAGAATTAAAATCTGGAACAGTTTACCTTTGGCAATCAAGCAATCTGCTAATGGTGGACAGCTTCAAAATATTTTTCTATCAAGCATTTATAAAATGCGTTGTAATCACCAGAGTATATAATTTTGTGTGACTAAAATACTATTCATCATAGTTAAACGTTTCTTAATTGATTTGTGATTTTGATTATTCTATCTTATGTAATTGTGTTTATATTTGTGAATGTAGTTCAGCTCTTAATTTTATGCGTATTCATTGAGTGGATCCCTACTAGCCAAGTGCTAAGGATCCAGGCATTTGCATTATGTTGATTTTCATGTCTTTATTAAAAATAAAAATGTAAAAAAAAAATGCCCCTAGGAAAGCAAAAGGATGAAACTACGTCAAGAACACAGAAAAAAAAAAAAAAAATCACGAGCTATTCCACTTAATGAAGGTGGATGACCAGCAAAGCTGTTTAGCATACGACACAGACCCGCCCCGAGGAGCCGGAGGAAACTAGACACGCACGACGGAACCGCTACCCCCAAAGAGCGGAAGGAAAGGAAACTAGGCATGCAAGCACTTGGAACGACGAAAAAGAGAGAGCGGTGCGAGCGTAGACATGGCCGACGCAGGTTGCACAGCGGCAAATCTTTGAGAAACCTTTATTATCTACCTGAGAGTCTCCTGATCTAGAAAATGGTGCCTGTTGATAACTAATCTACTGAATAGACCTATTGCTAAATTACCCGAGCATCAAGGAGAATGCAGAAAATGGTGTTCCATGCGCCGCACATGCCAGCGTCTGCAGCAGTAAAGGTTCTAAAGCAAAAGCCTAAAACAAGTGGCCTCTCGCACATGCCTCTGTCAACGCTTTATTATGGTTATTTACTTCGAATCGTTCATACGGGGAAGGCGTGTGCGTGCGGCGGCGGCATCTGCAGAAGTAACTGTTCTAAAGCAAAAGTCCAAAAACAGACGGTGTCTTGCACGCACGTTCGTCAATGCTTTATTTTGGTTATTTACTTAAAATCTTTTATACGGGGAAGGCATGCATGCGCAGCGGTGCGAGCGTAGCGTTTTTAGTCCCTGCACACGAAAAATCCACAAAACACTAGCCATAAACAGCTTTGCTGTAATACAACTCAAACCAAGGGCAGTGCTCACCTAGGAAGGGCTTCTTTGTCTTGCGTGCCCACTCAATGGCTGCAATCTTGCCCTCGACACCTCGGCTCCCGAATCCACCGGGGACTAAGACGCCACTGGTTGGGAAAAGGGCGACCACTTGAAAAAGCTTCTTAAAGCAGCTTCATGACTGGTGAATAGCTGACAGTCTTTGAAACTAGTGGGCTTCCCGTGTCAACAACTATGAAAGTGTAAAAACCAAAGGCCACCCCACTATGTAGAGGGGCCAAGCAGACATTGGTTTGAAGAATTCAAATCACAATTATGTTAGTGGTATAGTACACTATAAACGAAAGCCTAATGGAAATATTGTTTGAAATTTAATAGGCAGTTGAGCTGTGATGTGCCTGTGGAGTTTTGAAGCGTTTCTAAAGTCCGCTGACTTTGATGGTGATGTGGGGGTCGTTCATCGTAAGACAGGGCAACCAACCTCAACGAAAACCTTTCACTCCGGCTGAAACATTCGCTCTGCGCATGCTCTCCCCCATCTCACCTTTTCTTCATCAAAGTCTCTCATGTGGCCACTATTTGGTATTAATATTCAACAGTGTCCTTTGGTATGGCCACTTGAGATGCCATGTAGCTACTGTATTTTCTGGACTATAGCATTCTCCTACTGTAATCTGCAAAAACAAATTTTGCTGATTTTTTTTTTTTTTTTTTTTTTTTTAAGTTTAGATAGCTTGCAAACGGTACATGTCTACTCCAGGTGTTTTACAGTATGTGTGTCTTACTTTCGTTAAACATTATGTCATTAGTTGGCCGACAAATAGCACTCCGAGCTGACTAATACAACAATATTAACATAAATTTGTCTTCTTTTGAAAGCTACTTATTGTTTTTATAATCAATATTTGTTTAACAGCCACAAAAATGACCGTGGACGCTCTTCTTTAATTGAGAGACATTGTGACTCAAGCAACATTTGTAGCTGGGCATGTCGTACAGATGTTTACCATTTTTTATTTGCTCTGTTTTCTACCATTTGGACATCGTGACCGTGGTTCCTGAAAGACTCCACGCAATAATAATTTCAAAACTGCAAAGCAGCTGGTGTTTGTGCCATCAAGAGCTGCTTGATTCAGATTGTCCACTAGGGATAAACTATGTTGCGCATGACCCGCAGGGGCATCAAGGGCAGAAGCATCCCACTTTTCTTTATGACTAAAGCCCAGCATGAAACAATGTGATTTCCACAACTGCACTGATAGCCAGCGATATTGAAAAAAAAAATCCTTGTATAGCCTGCACCTTCAGATAGTGCACACAGCATAGAATATCATTTTTTAAACATGTATAATTTGCAAACTACAGTCCAGGAACTAGAGTAATAATTTCGGTTGTATGCCTGCTCATCATCCTCTTGGAAATAAAAGGAGACAATGTTTGAGAAACATGACAGCTGCCTTATGACACTGCACAAGAACCACCCCACCAAGATGGTAACCTTCTGTGGGGTGGCAAGTGACTAGTATTTCTACTTTGACTTACTCAGAGCGGCACAGGTTTTGCCAGGCAGCGTGAAACTTGACAGGATCGTCCCTCTTCATCTCGGGCTCGAGCTCTTCAGCATCGATATACTGCAAAGGGGAATGTCTCTGTCGAGCCCTTGACCCACGAAACCCCTGGTAACTCAGATACTTTTATACTAAAGTGTCTCTTATAAGAGTATCAGTCGGTTTGAAGCAAGGATTGCGATAACTTTGCCACACTGTGCAATGGCTATGGGTTGCATACTAACTGGCACGATCTCACCTTAATCTTGAGCTTGTGGTTGCAGGCCAGGGCCGAGTGCTGCAAGGCCTTGATGACCGAGGAGTAGGCATCTTCCAGCTGGGTGTACTTGCCCACCAGGGCTATCGTCACCTCCCGCATCAGTCGCTCCGCCTTAAGCGCAAGGTCACGCCACTTGTACATGAGCCTGCAACAATGGGAAAGTAATGCCTTGAGTAGGCAGGTCTGCAAGTCCACACTGCTTCATGAAAGGCAGGGCACAGCCCTGGAGAAGAGTTCTGTTCATGGACATGCCTGGTATAAGACTGAGATGGATGCGCAATTTATTATAAACTGTCGAAGTCTGACATGAATGGGTGACTGTTTTATACCCTGTGATAGTCTCGAATTCTTACACTCTTTTATAAAGGTACACCAATTATAAAAGGACGGTTATAACTAGGGTTCTGCGTTTTAGGTTTTCATGTTTTCGAAATTCAGCATACTTTTTTCAGTGTTTATTTTAAAATTCAATTTTCGTTTTTTTCGGTGTATATTTATTCCCAAAAATGTTTACCGGTTTTCTTTCGGTGAATATGAAAGAAACACCATCAGACACTGGACCAGATGATCCATGTAGCTGTGATATTTGTGATCCCTCGAAGAATAATGGCACATATACATACGTGGTCTTCGCTACAACTTTCGTCAGGACACACCTAAAAATCATGGCATTCGCAAGGATAATCTTTAGCGCGTTTCCTTTTCCTTCTCATTCTGACGACGTGACCGTCTGAGGTGATGACCATACAAAAACCAACGAAATGGTAAAAAAAGAAAAAGAAAATCCATTGTATTTATGTTTTCAACCACAAAGAAGTTTGAGAAAGGGTGTTAAGAAAGGTATTAACAGCTTTCCTCGATGTCCTCTGAAGTGCATGAAGCGAAAAACCTTATACTAGCCCACATCCAAATTTCTTTTTTTAGGACCGGGAACTTGACACACTAAGCCTGATCACAGAAAGGACACAGATGCCCCGCGAAGGCCAATCCAAGACCTCTGCTTTCTTCATTCTTAAACAAAACTGAACCATGCCAAATATAGTAATATAGAAAAGTGACCCGAACAAATGTCTGTGCAAACAGAATGTATTGACAGATGGAACCACAAAAAGACCTCTAAATTTACTCTATGAGAGGTAACATTTTTTGCATGTTTATTAATGGATTGTGTGTTCCTTTAGCTTTCTCCCACTCGCTTAGCACTCGTTTTGCAACTTTCATGCACATTCCCACGAAAACGGGACATAAGGCTTCATTAAGATACGGGCGGGAGAAGCTGCACTTCTAAAACGGGACTGTCACGGCCAAAACGGAGTGTCCGGTCGCCTTAGTTAAGTGACAGTATGCAACAATGTCAGGTGACCACGTGAAACGATGCCATGACACCGTCCCTCGACAATGCGGTGAACTTGAATGTAGCGCAAATGGAAGCGGCAGCAGGGAGCGTGCCCCCTACCTGCGAGTCCTGGGCACGGTGGGCACCTGGAGCTGGAGCCGCTCGGTGAAAAGCTCCACGATGCCCTGCTCCTCCATGAAGATGGGCACGTGGTAGATGCTGGGCACGTCGTGCATGCACAGCACCTGACGGGGCTCCACGTGGCAGAAGTTGGAGATCTTCTCCTTCACCGCCTTGGTGATCTCGTTCTCGCTGCGGCACACTATCTGCAGGGACGTCATCTCCGTGAGGAAACGGGCAACGTCACCGCGACTTGAAAGGTGGGAAACGACGAAACACCCCTTTCGAGTGTCCACAAACCCCAGCACAGATTGACTCTTCCTGATAGGGCTTTGGTCGCGTGCCCGTGACAAGATGGTGCGGTGCGCGCCAGAACACTGATGTGCATGGTAAGCTCGAGCCGGCAGCAGGAGGGCAAAAGAGCCCAGCTTAGCTTTCATGGTGCTTAGGCCGCTTACGCCCCCGAAGATAGCTGCCGAATTTGTGCCAGAAGCCAGGAAACTGTGAAAGGCTCTCTGCCTCAGATGGTGCTGTGGCTAACTGAAGCTCGTGCAGCGTGAGTCGAGGCCCCACTACAAGAAGCAAGCTTGTACTGATGGCAGAAAACTGAATGACGCTACCTACTTTCACACAATAGTATATTGTGTGTGAATGTTTAACCACCGATACGGTGACAAAGCACTATTGAAAATAATAAAAGTGGACAATTTCAAGTGCATCCCCATGAAATCCACTAATGCATGGGTTCCCAAATTGGGTTCCTGGGATCCCAGGGGTTCCCCAGAGTCCAGAGCACCCCCACAGGTTCCCCAGAGCACCCCCAGGGGTTCCCCAGAGCACCCCAGGGGTTTCCCAGAGCACCCCCAGGGGTTCCCCATAGCACCTCCGAGCTACCTAATTTTCTTAACTGTCCCTGCCCCTAAGTAAAGTGTTTTTCCAGTTTAGGCACTACCCGGGCAGATTTGACCCATCCACTGATGCATAGCTATGAGCCAAACACTCCACAGTATGTGCATTGCTGTTGACAAGGTGTGCACGCCTCTGTACCGCTTTATTTCCCAAACGCAGAGATTGGGAAGGGTTCCTCGGCTCTCAGTCAAGCCAAACAGGGGTTCCTCAAGATCAAAATGTTCGAGAACTCCTACACTAATGTAAGCATAGCCGACATAGCTGATGGGGGTGTCTAAAAGTAAGCATGCAATGTTTTCAGTGGACGACGGTACAATAAACTTTGAAGCACACCCACTAGTGTGCATGCCGAGAGAGCGACAGTGGAGCAGGAAAAGGGTACTTGCCAGATCGGGCGAAAGACCCAGTCCTCGCAGCTCACGAACGCTGGCTTGCGTAGGTTTAGTCTTGTGCTCCCCGGTGCTCTTGGGCTGTAGCAAACAAATAAATGACTTCAATAATAACTTCAGAAAATAAATGTTGCAATTTTAGCTACCTAGATCACCTCCCAACACAAAGGTGCAACAGGTAAATTGCTTTGCCCTTAATTGGTTGACGTCGACCTCGACAAAAAGCACTTCAGCCAAGTTCAATAGTAAAATAATATACTGAACTAAAATTCAAAGTTGAATGAAAACAGACATCATAGTGCTAATGCAATGCCCAATAGTAAAGAGCAAGAATTAAACGAATTGACTATGAGCAGACACTTTTAAGAAAAACGACAACACAGCAAAACTTCTTAACAGTTGTGCCATAGAAATTGTATTTGCCGTTTTAACAAAAACTGCTGCTCGAGCTAACATGATTTATGAACAAATACGGATAACATTTGCAATTACAACCGCTAATTTACATCTGACTGTTCATGTCAGTATAGCTGGCCACTGGGTGTCACATCCATTCTCATAAAAATCATGTCCAGCAAATAAGAAAAATACTGTAAAATACAGTGAGCACCCCCACAAACATTGGAGATAATTATGAAACAATAGAGATGGGCACTTGTTAAATCTGGAAATAGAACAGCAGAAGGGTCGTGTGATAGAGTAGGCTTTTGTTTGATGCAACGGTTTAAGTGGTCTGGCGGAACATGTAATTTTCAAAGCAGCCACGCCACTCTCGTCAAGCCTGCTTTGTGCCGGTGCTCTCTAGTCAAGCTTTACCGCTTTGCACCAATGCACGCGCATAAAACTTCACTGCCAGCACATCAGCTGGGAGACTCGTCGCCCCTTGAGGCAGACCAAGTTCTAGGCTGTATAAACATACACACAACCCTGCCAGCACTTCCTTCCCAGAGAAGCAGCTGACTTGGAGGAGCACCTCGGTTAGCTCGGAAGTTTTCTGGGCTTGCGCTTCATATTTCCTTTGCTTATATTTGAAGTGTTTCAAAGGCTAGGGATACACGCTTACTACAATAGGGATGCATGCTCGGTATTTTACGATGGGTTAGCCTAAGGAACTTCCTGCATAAGAACAGGCAAATAATTTAAAAGATCAGTTTTGGTACATTGATTTTGTGTTGCTAGCACCACGCCCTCTTACATTTGCCAGATGACGTATAACACGTTTAACTACACACTTGCAGAAAGAAGCTTTCTTGTGACCTGAATGCTTAGCAACAGCAACATTTGGTGCAAATGCTGTTGTCTAATGGCACTCCAAACTCCCATTGCCGGTGAACAGAAATCAGAACCGAGAAGCAAAACTTACACCACCTTGCATATGACGCACCTGCACTGGGAAAGATACCACACAAAAGACACATCATCAACACAGTAGGATGTAAACCTGAACAATCGACATTAGGTTTGTTGGAAACTAAAGATGTCAATGAAACTCAGTCAAACTAATTGCATAGCCTTTCTTCTCTGCCCCTCCCATTCTTGTTTTATATCCATTAACTGTATGAGTTAAGTTCCATCCCTTTCTCTAATTTGTCCCATCTCACTCGTTCTAGGGTGCCTTAGGCACACTCTGCTTAGGGTGGTGCCACCAATCACCTGTCTTGCTTTCCCCTATCCACTCCTTATCACCATAGATTGATTGATTGATTAAAGTTGTGTGCTGTTCTTGTATACCTTCGCCCACTTCCCCAGAGAGGGTTATGAGCATTAGGTTGACAGTTGGGAGGTATTATATAGAACAAAGGGTTATTAATCGGTGGGTCAGTATATGGGCAGTAACAGCCTCTTGCGGTGTGTTTGATGGCACTTCAGAGCATGAAACCGAGCATCGTAAAACAACAGCAGAACCTCCAGATGGATGGCTCGGATGCTTTTGATCTTTGCAAAACAGCTAGAAATGCTGAACGACGAAAATAACTCCAGGAATTATTTTCGTCATTCTTGTCCAGCTCGCTGGCACCTTTGCATTTAATTGCATTATAATTAGAAATGCTTACGTATAATCGAGCAACTCTCCTTGAGGCGAGTCTCTTGCAAACAGGGGCAATAGGACTGTGTTCCTCTAGTAGATCAGTAACATCATCATAGTTTGCAACAAGGCTTTGACGATTCCGTTGGAGAAGAAGCGGAGGCATTATTACAAAAAGTTGAGGCCAATGTAAGGAACACAAGCAAGTAGCCTGACACAGGAATGAAATTCCCCAGGATACATAAATGACAAAAAAGACTACTTCGGTGAAACTACAATTTTTCTTTTTCCTTCTTACTTTTTGGGAATTTTTTACTTTATGTCGTCTTGGTTAGACGAAAGAGCGGAAGCCTCAGTGGCCTCATTCTGCTCCTCCACCCCTTGAGACGAGGCGGGTCATGTGGGCCTGGCCAGGGTCAGGGGACTGGGGAAAAATACCCTGGCCATGACCGCCTCCCTCGATGGGGCAGCAGTGCAGGTGTTGGGCGGGGCATTGCCCAACTTTATCCGTCCCTGCCCCTCAACCAACGGAGGAACAGCACGATGCCACTCCTCAGATGAGGCCCTCTCCATGAGTTGGGGCACGACTCTCGCTCCACCCTGGGCGGAGACCTCGAAGTGGGGACAGACACAAGAGCTCTCAGCCTGTCCCGAGGTAAAGGGCAGCTGGTTTACTCCTTCCAGAAGCCGGAGGAAGCCACTGCCCTGCGCTAGGGCACTGAAGAGCCACTGCCAGGACCTCAAGAGAGGCCTGGCTAGCCTTCGATTTTGCTCATGGTGCCGGTCCCCCTTGCACCACCTGGGCAAGCACGCCTTTCTAGAAAAAGGAAAACTGTTTGTTGTTTTACCTCCCGGTAGCACGATTCTTTGTGCTTTAAGGGTTAAGATTTCTTTTCCTTGTTTCCACCATCGACACGCTCTGGCATAAGCAGAGTGGCTGCCTCAACAATTGACATATTTAAGGGTGCTCTCAGAAATGGTGGCTACCCGATCGGTGCTATCACACCTTGCGCAGGTTTCAGGGCATGGGAGTCGGCAGGGAGGTGCAAAAGGGGCACTTGCCCTGCCCTCCCTCCCTCCCTCCCTCCCTCCCCCCCCCCCCCCCCTCCCTTCACCAGCTCGCTCGGGTGCAGGGGATCAAATGGCGTCGCGAAAATAGCTTTTCTAGCAAATGGAAAAACCGAAAGCTATCCTAAAAATAAAATCCACACACTTTTGTTTCATAGGATCCCTCAGCAATAAACACAAAAAAGACTAAGGTCTCCCCTCGGTCAGTTGCAATCAGCTGCGCCAAGCTGGCAAAAAAAACAAAAAAAAAAACAGGGAGGAACATTTACTTCTGAGAACACCACAGTCCTGTGTTGTGAGGGATCACAGGCATTCGGGTGAAAGTCAGTAAAATGCCCCAAAAACAGTGTCTTCGACACAGAGCGGGATTCTTCCGAAAAAGCCCAACCGCACAAATTGGCGTAGCTATGAGTTGGAGATGGTCCGCGCTCCCCCTTCGCTCCGTCCGCGTAAGAGTAGAGCGAGCGGGCCCCAAGAGGGGGGGGGGGGGGGGTGGTAGCTTCGGCATTTTGGGAGGTTTCAACCCCACAAACCAACCCCCTGTCTACGACACCGCTCACGCCAGTGCTCTGTTTTGTATAGGTGCCTTTGGGTTTTTCTTCTCCTTTGCCCGTAGCTGCGTTGTGGTCATGGGAAAGGAGAAAAGGGGAGTCAAAATCGGGGCCAGGCATCCTCTTTTGGACAATGCAGTTCTGCGAAACTCTGTTCGCACCATGTCAGCAACGATACTCCCCCGGGCCACAACTCACGATAGAGAGGAGTGTCGGACCATCCTTGCTGACACCACCGTGTTCACACTCGTGACACTCGAATATCTGTTGGTGAATTCGCGTGGTCGCCTGTCTCCTCTGACCTCGATTCAGCAGAGCGCCTCCTCCTTGCCGCCAGAGCTACTCGGGATCCTTTTCAGCCAATCACAACTGCTGGGCTCAGAGCGCTCCGACATTCTCAGACCAGTCACGGAATTGATATTTCTTGACATTGGTTATGCATTAAAAACAACACAATCTTACAGCGTACGGTGGACGATTGAGCAAAAATTTACGCTCGCAACGTGATGAAATAACTGTTGCGACATAAATTGTTTTACGCATCGGCATGCAAAAAAAAGAGAAGAAAACGGCAGTATGCGAATTGATTTTTGCAGAACGGAACGAAGGCCAACGCTTGGAAAGAGTTGTCAACTCATCGCGTTTTCGTCAGTGAACGCGCTGCGATAGCGGTCATGCATACGACAGAACAGGCAAATATAAAATAGTTAATAAACCACATTTTTCTCACGGCGAAATATCGTGCAAGCATCGCCATGTGACACAAATCACAGTGCATTGTATTCGGCTCTCCCTTTATTTTACAACACAAACCTTTGAACGCACTTTTACCAAACCTGAAAATTTCTTGAAGCGACCATAAAACCCGGTAAAACAGCGGCGAGTTCTGCGAGCTGTTTCTTTGTCGGTTAGGCTTAGCGGATTCACCGCCGTGAGATGAACGATCTCGTGAAAGCACTGAGGATACTTCACACGTCGACTTTTCCTGTTACGGTCGCAAAGAAATGTCGTCCTGTCCGTCGTAATCCTCGCACCGTCGAATTCACAAGCACTTTGTAGAACCACATATCAATCGCCATCATGCCGTACCCTGCACACCACCACAGACCACTGCCGGCCTCGTCAACAAAACCACGTGATCCCCGTCCAAGCACCACGTGACACCTGCGCCGCTCCGCACTCCGACTGCTACAGACGGAGTGCCAGGGAGCGCTCTGAGAGGGAGAGGCGCCCTCGGAATGAACCACCCGATCAGGCAACAGCACTCTCTTTTAACCACCCGATCTCGCGCGCTCTGGAAAGAGCACTCGAGAGCGCGCGGAAAGAACCACGCAAATTCGCCATGTGACAGGGTGGCACACTTTGCTGTTGCTGGCTCTCTCTTCCTGGCCCAGTTGCTTGAAAGGGCCACATTCCGCACCCAATCCCGCTTTTTT